TTCGGTGTCAAGTCTTTGCCCGCAATTTGTTGCCAGCCCTTTCGTTGTAATTTAGGCTTTCATTCGCGACTTGATGAACAAGCCATCCTTGAATTCATAGGTTCAGGTTAAGCTCATACTGTACTTCTGTCACTGTCCATACTTATCAGTCCTTGCGCCTGGGCAATTTCATGCAATTTTAGGGCACTGGGAACATGTCTTTGGTTGCCAGCGTGCTTCACCAAGGTTTTCCTTCGCCGGACTCTGTGGCCAGAGTGCCTTTGCGTCAGTCCTTTTTTCCATGCCGGGCGAAAGCCGTTGCCAACCATTTGTCATCTTGTGACCTGACTGTCAATATCCCGAATCATTGTTGCAGTGTGAATGTTTGTGAATGTGGATCAGAATGATGCCAAGCAAACCTGTTTTGAACCCCGCCTCCAGCCCTAGTAAATTTATCAGATGGCTTCAAACTAACATGACCACTTGGGGCCCCTTGGGGTGGCTTTTTCACCAGTCTTTGGCACCATAAAGTTTGCTAGTTGCTGGCTGTGAGGCTCAAGTGAGTTTCCCCAAAAAGCAGGTTAGCAACAGGATCCTTGCAACCCATACAAAAATAATCTTCAGAGGCTCACTGTTGGAGGCATTTACCGTTTTTGCGAGTCTCAATTTCAGCTGCCAACAAGAAACTGGGATACCTATATGATGTAAGTATCTTATGGCGAATCCATGAACTCAACCCAAGCGACTGCGCACCTCTTCGTAACTCTTCCGTAAACCATTCTGCCAGGTAGGGGAGTTTTGTTAAGCAACAGTGAACATGATTCATATCTTCTCATGGGTCGATTCTCCACCGCCCTCAAATCTGTGTCCTCACGACATTTCGGTCAAGATTTCTTCAGCATAGCCAAGTTTGGCGATTCTGCCATTTTGTTCCTGTGAGAAGTGTACTTACGTAGCCTCTTGCATGCCTTGGGCTTCTCAGATACAATGATTCTACTGGACAGACACGGCTTCTGGAAGGCCAAGCCATGGTTTGCACGGTTACAGGGTTCTCCAGTCCATCCCCAAGAACCCTGCATTTTGCATGGAACAACGCCATACTCACACAGTTCCCAAATTGTAGGGTCCCAATTGCTCTGTGGCTGTACAAATTTCCTTCACACCAAGGTGATCCTTTGTCAGTTGATTCAGTGCTGATACAGCACAACGTTTGACGAGATTTGGGCATTGTGCGTGGCACCGAGTCTTGGCCTAATGAATCTGAAAGGCATGCAGCTAGGATCCACCTTCTTTCTAACGAGTTTGTTCCTGTGAAAGAAGCCCGGTCGAGCAGACATTGCTGGAGGCCAGTGGGCATGGATCATCTTTTTGCCGGTCAACTTCGGAGAAGCTATTTTGTTTGGACAGAGCTGTGCGTTTCGACAAGTCTTTCGAGCCTCGACAGTTTCTTCTGAAGGGGCAGCACTTTGCAGTGGACATGAGATTGACAGAGATCGACAGTCCTTTTAGGAGGCTGGTGCAGGGCGGTCTTGTTCAGTCTGACCATTGGAGTTCTGATTGTTGCAAGGTCCGCAAGGTAGGTGAGGCATGCTGGCGGTGTATGGGTATGGTATGGCTATGTATGACTTGTTGGAAAATAATTCTCGGTTCAGCAATGAGCAATGCCTTCTCGTTCTTCCGTCTCAGGAAGAGCGTCTGACAGCTACCACGATGGATCATCATCGGTAGTCCTTAGTCCGTCCTGGTCCTTAGTCCATCTTGCTTGGAAGCTTGGAAGCTTTTGGACCTCGCCCGGAAAGGATTCTTCAGTCCAGTCGAGTTGCATTGCGAACATCAAACGCGCGCGCAAACTCTCAGGAGATAAGCGCTTGACGTCCACGATCTTTCTTTTCAGCAGTCCAAGCGGCTTTCCTGCAGCTTCGCGGCTCCCAGCGGTTCCCAGGCCGATGTTTGTTGTGCCTCACATGTCTCAACGTGGGGATGTGTGTTTTTGAGTGGTCACTGTCCCGGAGTGTCCAGGAGTGATTTCTGGGAATGGTTTGCCTAGGCTCACAGCTGGAACACATCTAGGACCCTAGGAATTTCGAAGGAGCTACAAAGCAAAAGAATCCAATGCTACACAGGGAAGGGGTTTGAAGGGATCTTTTAAGCCACTACCATATTGTATCACTAGGCTTTCATTTGCAACTTCCTGGCTTCGTGAGTATTTTCAGACAGTTGCCCTTTAGAAACATTGAATGGAATTCAAGAGGCGTGCTTTTATTACTATTTTAACCTTGCTTTAAAGCTTTTCTCTTTGTGACTCTTTGTGTGTTTTCTTTCGGTGTCAAGTCTTTGCCCGCAATTTGTTGCCAGCCCTTTCGTTGTAATTTAGGCTTTCATTCGCGACTTGATGAACAAGCCATCTTTGAATTCATAGGTTCAGGTTAAGCTCATACTGTACTTCTGTCACTGTCCATACTTATCAGTCCTTGCGCCTGGGCAATTTCATGCAATTTTAGGGCACTGGGAACATGTCTTTGGTTGCCAGCGTGCTTCACCAAGGTTTTCCTTCGCCGGACTCTGTGGCCCAGTGCCTTTGCGTCAGTCCTTTTTCATGCAGGGCGAGAGCCTTTGCCAACCATTTGTCATCTTGTGACCTGACTGTCAATATCCCGAATCATTGTTGCAGTGTGAATGTTTGTGAATGTGGATCAGAATGATGCCACGCAAACCTGTTTTGAACCCCGCCTCCAGCCCTAGTAAATTTATCAGATGGCTTCAAACTAACATGACCACTTGGGGCCCCTTGGGGTGGCTTTTTCACCAGTCTTTGGCATCGCAAAGTTTGCTAGTTGCTGGCTGTGAGGCTCAAGTGAGTTTCCCCAAAAAGCAGGTTGGCAACAGGATCCTTGCAACCCATACAAACATAATCCTCAGAGGCTCACTGTTGGAGGCATTTACCATTTTTGCGAGTCTCAATTTCTGCTGGCTACAGGAAACTGGGATACCTTTATGACGTACGTATCTTATGGCGAATCCATGAACTCAACCCAAACGACTGTACACCTCTTCGTAACTCTTCCGTACACGATGCAACGATTCGGCAACCTATTTGACCTACTTAACTCCACTGTCATGACCTCCTAGGATCTCGTCAGTCCAGCTACCGGCCGGGCCGACTCACTCGCGATGTGCAGCTTGGCTGAATCCCGCAGAGAGGGTCGCCATTTTTTGTGGGAAAGCGGAAAGACACCGGCGGCAGTTCATGTTTGCTAGCTGAAAGAGTTGGAGAAGATTTCCAACGTTAACTGTTGATTTTAAAACATCGTAAGAAGATGTAAGACCATTCTGCTAGGTAGGGGAGTTATGTTAATCAGTGAACATGATTCATATCTTCTCATGGGTCGATCGGTGATGGTTTTCCCACGTCTTGGCAATCGTCACCGGAACTCGGCTGAATGCACCTGGGATTTCTAAGCAGAAGAGGATATCCAGCCCCGATGTATGTTCAGTGCGGATGCTAATGGCCGACTTCAGAGTGGAAGGGTGCTCTTTCCCAACTTTGCTACATACTGGCAGTGGCTAATCATTTAACTGGGCGCGGCTCAGTTGAAGGAGAGCAGGTCATTGAATTCTGATGCTCAGGACTGGACTTGTTGTCTTGCGTCGATGCCAGACGTTGGCATGAACACTCCGGTTGAGGCAGGAAGGGTTTTTCCACATGTTGTTTCAACGCTGGAGAAGTAAATTGAGTGAACAAAGATGGGGGCTATTCAGTTCTCAGCCCTCAGCCATTGGGTTTCTGAGCCTTCTGTTTTCTTTAGTTTGCACTGCCCGTGCAGCGACTAGCAATTACCGAAGACAGACTCACAACCGAACGTTGCCCCCCCTGGAAATCATTGGAGCTGCAGGTCATATGACCATGGTGTTTTTGAGTTTGTTGAGTCTAGGAGTTGCGCGCATGTGATTATATTCTTGGTGGGACTGTAGACTTTTCCTACTTGGCAATCCTATTGCACGGGTCGTGTGGAGCCAATGATCGTTGAGATTTGGCTTGTACACCTCATATTGCAGTGGGTCCTGACTTGTTCAAGTCTGACTCTGTAGCAAAAGTTCAAGCAGTAGATTTAAAGAACGAGTCAAGCCAACTATTTGTGATTCGGCTTTGTGGTATATATATATATGTGTGTGTGTGTACAGTGCCACTGAAAGGTGAAGGAACCTTTGCTGTTTCAGCTACATGCCCATGAGAGCCGATAAAAGAGAGTGTTCTGTGGACACCTCTTCACTTTTATATTGTTTGGAGTCTGGAGATTCCGTTTTGGTGACTGTATTTATGTATTGGGCGCCTGAAAGCTCAATCAGGTTTCTCCATCTGGGCTCCATGCAGTGTTCCAGCGTTTGTGAGACCACTCGCACTCCTCGCTCGCCAGGCCAGCGAGCTCCAGACGGACCTCGGACAGTTACTGTCTGCCAGTTACACAGAAACAAACAGTTCTACAGCAACACAACAAAACACCATCACTCGCAACACATGTTCAATCCTGGCAGCAAAGACCACATAAACCTAAACCCTAGCAGCCGAAACACATAAACCTAAACCCTAACAGCCTAAACACCTAAACCCTGCCTGAGTTTGAGAGACACTGAAGACTGAGTTGGAGTGTGAAGAAAAGGTGAGCAAGGACGTTGGCTCAGAGCGACCTGGGAAACGCCGGTGGCGGAGGACATGCGAGTGAGAACGGCCAAAAAGTGCTGCGCAGAGAGTGGCTGGGCAATCAGGGGTTGCCCCATCAGGCTGTGCTGCGAGTGTGAGCGAGCCCTATGTACTGTGAGCTTCGTGAGCTTGTCAGTGACGGTCCCATCACGAGTAGACTGTGGCAGCCACACTTTGCCATGTGGAGCAGCACTTCACGCTTACTAGGTTGGGCGGGCCACCCTTGATGGAACATATTAAGCGAGGTGACGAAGTGGTAGCTCTGTGGGGAGCTGGTGGGAGAGGGTGTGCAACATGGAAACAGTGGCTCCTTGCACTGCAGGTCGAGGCTTTGGCCTGCGGTTTTGGCTGTGGTCACGGCCACGCAGCGGCCCAAGTAGAGCAGCCAGCGCGACTGAAGCAGACTGCGTGAGCCAGAGAAAGTCGAAAGTAGATGCCAGACTTGAAGCTTGATTCACTCTCGGCCTTACAAGCGTTTGAGCCTGCGAGGCTGCCTTTGTTGCGAAAGGCTCGGTGGGCAAGTCAGGTGTGCATTGTTGAATGATTGCTTGGCTGCATTCATTTTTGCTGCATGCCCGCAGGTTCCTCTGGGTTCGTTCGTCCTGGCGCCGGTTTCTGCAGCGCAGGTTGCCCGATTGATTTGTTCTGGGGTCTCTTTTGGACAGAGTTGGGGCCTTGGACTTGGAAGGGGGGCAGGAGTGAGCGGACGCTGAGGCCGGCCATGCCAACAGCAGACACTCGATGCTTGATGGGCTGTGGCCTTAGCGTCTAGCGCTTTGAGATTCTTAGGGCCAAAGCGTGAGGGCCGCCAAATCAGTTGGTTGTGTCTTCTGTTCTCCGGGTATCGATCTTCATTTAGAAGCGTTTCCCAACCCCTCTTCCGTGCGATTCGATTTTAAGGGCGGCTGAAGCAAACTGTGTGGAATACAAGAACTGTCAGCGAGACAACGCAAATCAATGACCTTATCGTCGAGCTGGCCCCACCCGCCCAGGTACACCGGTAGGATAACTGGGTCGGGGCCCTAGGCATGCGAAGGGCTTCTCGCCAGCAAACCTTGCGCTAATATTTTTTTGGTCCACTGATTAGATTCACTTTAGGCTTCTCAGGCATAAGCCTTGGAGAATATGTTTTTTGTGGCAACGAGTTTTCAATGAAACTACACTGCAGGATGAAGGTACTGGATTGAAGCAACTTTTTGGGTGGCGAGAAATTTCAAGTGTAGACTTGAGATTTCTGCAAGATGTTCACAGGCAACCTGACTGTCCACTGTGGGCCTGGCTTTGCCGGCGGAGTTTATGCAATCGCCCCTGGAAAATCACTATACGAATCCTTTGAGCGAAGGAGGTCTACCAGCAACACAGCGCTGCATTCATAGAAAGTAAAGCGTCGGACAGCCCTGCGCTCCGTAACCAGTCATGTTTGGGAGACTGGAAGCGAGCAAACGGCGTGATCCATCATTTTGTTTTTTGCTGCTGTGCTCTGTGGGAACCTCCGTTGGGCAACCAACAGCATATCGATCTTGCGACAAAGTAGAATGAACATTATAGTAAATTGAAAACCTGTAGCGAGAGGTTCGGAGCCTCCGTGCTAATTCTTGTTTTTGGGCCGCATTCTCGTGTTTTTGTGGTTTTTTCTCATGTTGTTCTTGTTTTTCCGGTTTTCTCATTATTTTTCTCGTGCTTGTTTGTGTGGGTTTGTCGCGTTTTTCTTGTTTTGCTTTCCGCTTTGGCGTGCTGGACTTATCTCTTTTTTTCGTCGGTATCTCGTGCTTTGTTTCGTGTCCTGGGGCCAATTTGGCATGTTTGCGTTGCGGCCGTTTTGCCACAGCTGCGCCACAGTTACAGTTGTGCCGCAAAAACCACAAAAACTGCAAACATATACTGGTGGGGCTCTATCTTAGAGTCTTAGAAAAGAGCTGGCCACACTGGCTGGCCGCGCCCCTGGCCTCTGTGGCCGGGTCTTGTCCTCCTCTTGCGCTGCTGTTGTCCTTCTCTTGTCCTGCTGTTGTCCTCTGGCCACGCCCACCTGCCCTGACCACACTGACTGGCCACGCCCCTGTGGCCAGGCTCTGTGGCCGGTCTTATGCTCCTTTTGTCTTCTCTTGTCCTGCTGTTGTCCTCCTTTTGTCCTTCTTTTATCCTGCTGTTGTCCTCTGGCCGCGCTGACCAGCCCTGGCCATACTGATTGGCCGCACCCCTGAACTCTGTGGCCATGTGTTTAGAATGCTGAGTGACGTCCAATCGGATGTCCGCGAAAGAAGCGGGTTCGCGTAGGGACCCGTCTCGAGTCTCACACAGTTGATGATGGGGCGCCCGATAATGTGCCTGTGAGACGCATTGGACATTGTCTATTTTCCATAATATGGTCAACAGCTGGAGAGGAGTGTGGCCGAACAAATAGCGACGTCGATCGATGCCAACAAAAATCATTGATGACGCAGATTGCTCTTGAGGGGAAGGTAGGCTGTACCAAGAAATCGTTTTTGACGAATATTGGTCCAAACGAACCGTTTTGAAACTGTTTGGGGTTTATGCTGGTAAAATTACAATTAGAACTATTGATTCTGTTTCCTTCTGAGATAAAACCCTGGCTGCGCAACAAGTACAGCTTATAAACACCTGATGGGATGCAAAAAACACCAAGGCTGCAGCCTCATGTTACTGTACTGTTTGCAACAATTTTACTTGGTGTCGCCAAACCTCACAATCAATTAGGAACATCAGGCATTTGGTAGTTATGTGAGCCCCGCATGCTCAATATGAGTGCAGATTTGTTCATTTTTTCTCGTGCGTTTTGTTTTTCTGGTGGTGTTTGTCGTGGTCACTATTACAGCCCCCGGGCTACTTACACATTTGAAAAAATTGTATTTTCGTTGTGCATCGTTTGGGCGTCAAACGCCTTATTTCCAGGAGGTTCCCTATCAAAAATAGAACATCTGCAATGTTTTGTGGGTTTTCTGCAAGTGTTGGCAATGATCGGAAAACAACAAACGGCTAGCAAGATATGTGGATTTTCCGACATGTGTGTGGTCGCAAACAAGTATTTGTTAATATATTTGTTGTGGAGAATGAAGTAGCTGACAATGTGGTTCCATTGTGGAGAAACAGCGCAATGTGCAATTTTGAACCTCGGAGGTTATATGTCCAATTCAATACCTCAATTTTTAACATGTTGAACTGTGGAATTTTCAGATTGTGTGAATCGTTTGGTTGCCAAGATACAATGATCGGATCTTGATTTGGCCCAGGTCGATGGCCTTGGGTTTCAGGTCCAAAGGCCAGAAGTGTGGGTGGCAATTTGAACAACTGGATTCATGGGTCTGTTGAGCTGTTGTTTTCCGGGTTTGTGGCCCATAGGTTGTCAAGTAGGGCTGATGGGCACGAACATTGCAACGTATTGATGCGGTTGTGGTGCAACCGAGGAATGCAGATTGTTATGATTGTTTGTATTGTATCATGCAAATTCAGATGCCGTTCTCCCCGCATTGTTCGGACATGGTTTCCCATTGGGCATGCAATGCCAAAAACAACTACAACCATCCTCCTGAGAAACCTCATGTTTTTACAAGCCGTTCCTTTTTCAACTTGCAAACCTTTTATGAAACGTGTTGGTTTGTTTCTCGTGACATGTGCTTTGATTTTTCGATTAGTTTCGTAGTGCAAGCCGACCTCAACCCTCGCGACGGGAGGTGCTGTTTGGGGACAAGTCGCGGCTGGCAAAGGCAGACCACGGTCCTCGCTCAATCGCTGCAAGTTGGACCGAAAACAGATCGCACATCCCATGCATTTGTGTTCGGTTGTCTCTGAAACCGTAAAGAGACAAATGATGTTCCCGTTGCAATAGCCGCTTCATAATACATAATCGTGTTGTTATTGTTGGCTGGAGGCTTGGGGCGGAGTAGAGGTCATCGCGTACCTTTCCTATGGCGTGGCCAAAGCGGTGATGGGCCCAGCGCTTTCAATTTAAGCAGCAGTTTCACTATTGCACCGCAAATTTGGTCGGTGTTTTTTATGCGCAAACTAGGACTCTTGGGAGAGCAAAGTTTGCAGATTTTTCTGGGTGCTTTTGTGGTAGCCGATTGTTGTCTAACTTAACTCTCCTTGTCACTGCTAGTTGTTTTTTCCAGCCAAAGATTGCTGGTTTCTTGTTTTGTTTGCCGTGACTGGATTGGACTAGTGTCTCGCGTGAGGTGCAATGTTTTCCCCGATGTCTCTACAACAGCATATTGATAGTTTTTTGGCATTGTTGGATGCGAACAAATGTACAACAAATTGCAGAAACATATGAAACCATGAATGATGGGGAACACTACACAATGCCGTGTGAGTTCAGGCTCCTCTGGTGCTGGACGGCCTGGGTTTCAGCATGGTTGCTCGGCTCCTGTTGTTTTGTAACATATTGCGAAACGGGGTGGTATGTACTTATTGATTCGAAGACGTTTGACGTAGAAGTGCTTTGTGGGGAATGTGTATAGGGACTTTGTACATTCTTGTACTTTGAATCCAACAATTGATGCCAACCACGGTGTCGCAAGTTCCTTTGCAACATCAACAGTAGAGGTGGTTCTGAATGGAAGCCAACAACAGCGAAGACTTTTTTGTGATGGCGGCCAAGGAAGAGCAGCTGGTGCGCAGGATAGCGCTGGTGAAAGCATTGGTGAGGCAATTCGTGCTAGGACGTGGCAGTTGTTCAACATATGTTTGTTTGGATGAGTGAGTGCTCTGGGGGTTGCATTGAATGTTTAGCTTAGTGGTTCAACATCAGTGATGGTTTGACCTTGTTTCATATGTTCTATCATGTTCGTTTGCCGTGTTGTTCGATGGTTCCTTGGCGTGACCCCGCAAAGGGGCGTTGCAAAGTGTGAGGCAACTCCGGACGACCGCTGTAGATGAAGTGAAGTTCCTTTCACAACCACACTTGACAGTCACATCGTTTCACACCGTGTTCCGTGTTCCCTGATAGATTGCATATGCAAATCTTGTTCGATTGTCATTTATTTCGTGGCTAGATCCATGCCAAGAGGGTCACGCCTGTTGTCTCGTGGGAGGTGCCCGGTGACAGGTCACAGCTGGTGCAGGCAGAGTTTGCGTTCAATCATGTTTGAAGTTTAGCCAGGTTAGCGACTTTAAAATGCAGTTTGCGTGTTCATACTCCGGAGACCCTTGGATACTCTTGCACTTTCAATCAAAACCATGAAACAGGTGCGTTTCACGGAGAGAGTGTTGATCAGATCGGATGTAGCGCACGGCATGGTTGATTTCTAATGCAAAGGGACTTGTTCTTGAGCTGGAGGCTTGGGGAGTAGTAGGGGTCGTCGCGTACCTTTCCTATGGCGTGGCCAAAGTGGTCGATGGCTGAGCCTTGTAGAGCCGGCAGTGGTAGCACATGGCAGCTTTTTCAAGTAGTTAGTCGATATGATTTTGGCTGAGGGGTTGAGTAATACCCCAACTGAGGAAGTCACGCTACAACTTTTTGATTGGAATGAAATCACGGTTGGAATAGTTTTTATACTTAAACAGTTTTGTTTGAGTGATGGATGGATGTTCTTTTGCTTGCCCACCTTCCAACGCAGGAACCCCAACCCGGAGAGCTGTCCATTCGTGGTGTCTAGTCGGTTCAACAAAGATCAGAACGGAATTGTGAAAACCATCCCAAACTAATGCTATCAAAGAATACTACAATACACCAAAATGGTCTTGATATTGCTTTGAGGTTGGCTATGTTTGTATGTGCCCAGGTTCCCATTGTCCTGGACGGCCTGGGTGCCATCACGGCTGGTTGGCTCAACTTGGCAATCGAAAGGTGGAGGGGGATGTTTTGGCATGCACTTTGTGGGGACTGGAAGGTATCAGCTGGTCAAGCACCAATTGTTTCGGAGGTGTTGGCCCCACATAGATGAGAAGAATTGGGAGATTGAGAACTTGCCTCCGATCGCCGATCGCATTGAGTTGCATGTTCGAATCGCGTGAGAGCATGTTGTCTGCCCGAATTTGTTCTCTTCCCTTGAGCCGGTTCCCACTTGCACAGAGGTTTGCATCGATGATCCTCCGTCAGTTTGTATAACAAGGAGCAGATTGACAATGCAGCACAGGTATACTAACCATTTCCCCAAGGCAGCACGAAGCAGAATCAGAATCTGATTCCAGTTTCTTGCAGGATGTTGCGCATTGCAGCATTCTTACGATACAATATGTGCACGATTGAAAAACATATGAAACACATTTTGCTAGCTGTTTTTTCCCTGACCGTTGCAAGGCAGGTGAAATTGGCAGCATTTCCCCGCTTTCTTGAACTAAGGAGCCATGGCAGTGGGGTTTGCTTGCAGTGACCCTGCTTTTCTTCGCCTACGTTGAGGTGCCAAATGGCCAAGGAAGCAACAGCGAGGGTGATGCAGATCAGAAAGTAGATGAAAGTAGTAGTTTGTAATGTACAGATGCATTGGCTCGTACCGATATGAAGCAAACAGAATTGCATATATAAAGTGATAATTCAGTGCACAAGACATGATGGGCTCACACTGAACTGCATACACTTCTCACTCATTGCAAGCAAAGGCCCAAGCAGTGTTCTCCCCCTGTCCCAATACCTGTGCAGATCTGTGCAGTATGACTAGCTTTCTCCGAGCACAAGTGATTTTGGTGGCCTGCGCTGTCGCGCAACCACCAGTTCCAGTTTCATCTTTGTCTCGATGGGCAGATGCCACTGGTGCAAGTGCC